TGTGGTGAGCAAATATGCAATTATAGTGAGACATACCTTGATGAACATAATGAGCTTTATATAAAAGTAATAGAAGTGAATGGGAAATTTCCACCATGATACAAAAACAGATGTGTGTGTGTGAGTTTGTCTGTGTGTGTGTGTTCTCAGTACAGTTACGTGACTAATTGGCCTCTTTTACTCTACAGCGATAGATTATTTGCCCGACTCTTGCGTTCCCTCGAGTCTCTCGTCGTGTGTGTGTGAGTGTGTGTGTGTGTGTGTCTCTGGATGCCGGCATCGATCACACATAATCCAATTTCCCCCCAAAACAAATAATGAAGCGTTTCTGGAGCTTACCCTTTTAAGTAATTTAGCGATTCGTTCAAACTTGTGCGAATCGATGAAGTGGCTTTTGAAAGATGAGTCTAATGAATTCCCATGATGCTCTAATTTCGGCCTAATGCATCTCAGCGAAATTAAAACGCACATTTGTGACGCTCAGATAAGCAGGCGGGAGATTTTATCTGAATTGGAGCGTTTGGAGATGATGTCGTTATTTTGGACTCATCACACTAACTGCTCTAATTAGGTTTTCGATCATTTTATTTAGTCTCAGCTGAGACTCAGAGACTTCGGGTCTGTGTGTGTGTGTGTGTGTGTGTGTAATGTGTTGTTTTACATCGTAATGGTTAATATCTTCATCCAATCAAAACGGTTAAATTCCACATTTGTACTTTTATACTTTTGTACTCAGAGACTTCGAGTGTGTGTGTGAGTGAGTGAGTGTGTGTGTGTTATTGTTATTATATATGTATTGTAAGTCATTATAAAGGCTATTCACTTTGTATGTTTGTGTGTGTGTGTGTGTGTGTGTGAGAGTGAGTGTGAGCGTGTGTGTTATTGTTATTGTTATTATATATGTATTGTAAGTCATTTTAAAGGCTATTCACTTAGTATGTTTGTGTGTGTATTTTTGAGTGTGTGTGTGTGTGTGTGTGTTTTTTTGAGCGAGTAAGTGTGTGTGTGTGTGTGTGTGTGTGTGTGTGACAGTGAGTGTGTGTGTGTTATTGTTATTATATATGTATTGTAAGTCATTTTAAAGGCTATTCACTTAGTATGTTTGTGTGTTTGTGTGTTTGAGTGTGAATGTGTGTGTGTGTGTTTTTTTAGTGTGAGTGTGAGTGAGTGTGTGTGTGTGTGTGTGTGTGTGTGTGAGTGAGTGTGTGTGTGTGTGTGTTGTTATTATATATGTATTGTAAGTCATTTTAAAGGCTATTCATTGTATGTTTGTGTGTGTGTGTGTGTTTGAGTGTGTGTGTGTGTGTGAGTGTGTAAGTGTAAGTGTGTGTGTGAGTGTGTATAGTGTAAATATTATCCGATTAATCGTCAAAATAATCGACCGGTTACTCGATTACCAAAATGATCGTTAGTTGTGCCTTAGATTATTTAAAACATTTCAAAATAACAACTGCATTGTTTTGCATTCTGTGACTGTCAGTCAAATAAAAGTCAACTCTTCCCAGTCATACAGTTCGTCATTGAAGATTTCTTAAAAACAGTGTTAATATAGCGTCTCGTCCCGTGAGCTTAACCCTTTAGGCGCCAGAGGTTTTTTCCTAAAACGTTCGATTTTGACATCTTAATTTCAAAAGGCTATATCTTAAAAGTGAAAAAAGATAGAGACTTTCTGTAAATTAGAGAAATATTAAAGGGTCACTTCACCCATTTGCATTAAGGTTTGTATTGTTAGAAACCCAGTCATATATTATAATGATGGTGGAATTTTGCTAGTTTTTTTTCTGAGATGGGAGAAAAAAGGATTTAAGTGTTTTACTTCCGTCCTATCGTGACGTAAATATCGTCATTTTGCGTCACGATAGGACGGAAGATAAATTTCATTGCATATTAAGAAAACTACAGCCTTTAGCTCATTATTATTCAAGGGCGTGGGACCCACTCACCCCACCGGCCTATTACAGATCAGTGGGTGGGACTAAACCTGAAGAAACTAAACTATTAATCCGCCATCTTGCTTGGAAGACAGCAAGCTAAGCTAACAAGCGCTCAAGGAGTTAGATTTACCATAATGCCTGAATTTACGACACACGATATGGAAGAGGAGGATTTTGACAATCTTTTGCTCGAAACTGATGTTCGTGGCTATTTATACGAGCCGCAATATAGTGAAGAGCAGCTGAGGCTGATGGAGGACCAGGAGGCGGACGAGGAGCCCGGGCTGGCTCGAGCTGTGCGGACTGCTGGTGCCTGTGCTCTCGCTGTGCGCTACGGACACAGATAGAGTCCGTCTGCTGCCGAGAATTTCAACGATGGCAATTTCTCCTGGACGAAATCTCTGAATCAGACGAGCACACGGACGTTTGTGTTGTGATGTGAACCATCCTCGTGTCGCACCGCATGTTCTGACTGAACCAGGTATCATGCAATAATTCACCATATAGAAAGAAATACAAACGAGGAGTAATTCGCTAATGAGTTTGCCAATGTAACGGGGTTCGTT